ATGGGTGAGATAAGGAGACATGATGTGGAGATATGATGTGAAAGACAGAAAGAATAAATAAAAAGTTTTTAAAAATAAAACAAAACGAAACAAAAGACTTTTCCCAGCTTCAGTCAGGGCAGCAGACTCCAATTAGACCAAGGAGGTTGCAATCAGTTACAGCTTAAATAAGATTTCACTAATTAAAACAGGATAAAGTTTATGCTGTCTTCCAGTATTCTCCTGATGTAAGTGGGTCTTCTGTCTATGTGTTACTTTCATTGGTTAATAAAGAGACTGCCTTGGCCTTTTGATAAGGCAAAAAATTAGGTAGGCAGAGTAGACAGAACAGAATGCTGGGAGGAAGAAGGCAGTGAGGCAGACGCCATGATTCTTCAACCCGAGTTGGATGTAGGCTAGAATCTTTCCCGGTAAGCCACCACCTCGTGGGGTTACACAGATTATTAGAAATGGGTTAATCAAGATGTGAGAATTAGCCAAGAAGAGGATAGATATAATGGGCCAAGCAGTGTTTAAATGAATACAATTTGTGTGTTGTTATTTCGGGTGTAAAGCTAGCTGTGCGGGAACTGGGCGGGATGGAAAGCAGGCCTGCTTGCCTCATCACTACATTCTCCAACTCCACAACAACAATACTCTGTGAAAGAGCGAGCAGGCTCATCTTGGGTTCCTGCCCTGAATTTCCTCAGTGACAGACTTTAGCCTGTGAAGGGAAATAAACTTGTTCTCCCTAAATTGCTTTTCATCGTGATACTTGTCATAGCAACAGAATGATAGGTGAAAAGGAGGAAGGTTTTATCTTTGCTTGTGGTTTAGGGTGTTAGTCCATCATGGCCTTAGGGCCATGGCGGTTCCATCTCTAGTAACAGAAGCTAGTGGTAAGGCTTGTTTCATGCCAGACTGGGTCATGTCAGTGCCTAAAAGTGCTGCCACCAGGGCCACACCAATCTGAGCAGCCTGTGCTGCCACCTGGGGTCATGGTATTGTTAGAGCCAGGGCTGCTGTCAAGGGAAATGTCTGTAATCCTACCATAGCCAGGGTTTGAGCTGACTTTCTTTGCTTTATATTTAAAAAACCACCTATGAGTGAGTACAGGTGATAATTGTCTTTCTGTGTCTGGGTTACCTCACTCAAAATAATGTTTTCTAGATCCATCCATTTTCCTGCAAAAATCAAGCTGTTGTTATTTTTTTCTGCCGTGTAGTACTCCATTGTGTAAATGTACCACACTTTTCTGATCCATTCTTCGATCGAGGGACATTTAGGTTGTTTCCAGGATCTGGATATGACAAACAAAGCTGCTATGAACATGAATGAGCACATGTCCTTGTGGCACGATTGAGCATCCTTTGGATATATACCCAAAAGTGGTATTACTGGGAGTTTCTTTCCATTTAGTTTGATGTTGGCTGTTGGCTTGCTGTGTATTGCCTTAATTATGTTTAGGTGTGTCCCTTGTATCCCTACTCTCTCCAAGACCTTTATTATGAAGGGATGTTGTATTTTGTCAAACGCTTTTTATTTTTAATTTTTGGGTTTTTGAGATAGGGTTTCTCTGTGTATCTTTGGCTGTCCTAGAACTCACTCTGTAGACCAGGCTGCCCTTGAACTCACAGAGATCTGCCTGCCTCTGCCTCCCAAGTGCGAGATTAAAGGTGTCTGCCACCACAGTATTACAAGTTCACCTGCAAGACAGTCTAAAACTTCAAATATATTGTGGGCCTTGTGGCTAGAAAGCTGCCATCTCCAAATTATACTGGTGCCCTTTGCTCTTTATGAGGAGTTTATTCTCTCTCTCTCTCTCTCTCTCTCTCTCTCTCTCTCTCTCTCTCACACACACACACACACACACACACACACACCCCACTGGTCTGTAAGTCACAGATGCTATGTGATGGTGAACTAATTGCTCCCTTACTTCAAACTCTCTTACAAGTATTGTAGGAGATGGAGGGGAAACTGTGGTTGGTATGTATTACACGAGAGAAGAACAAAAAAATCTGTAGCTTTCTTTATTATTAAATAAGTACTTAATGTGATATAAATCAGGAAACTGTCACTCATGCCTTTTTTTAAACACCTAGAAATAAACCTAGACAAAGAGGTGAAAGACCTACCCGTACATTGAAAACTTTACAATGCAGACAGAACAGTGAAGGCCAAGAACTCTGTTGCCTTCCTTTTTTAACTTTTAAATTATTTTATTAGCATGAGTGTTTTGCTGGCATATATGTCTATGTACCACTTGGACGCAGGACTTTCGGAAGCCAGAAGAAGGTGTCCCTTGGAACAGGAGTTACAGACGATTGTGAGTGGTCATGTGGATGCTACGAATTAAACCAAGGTCCTCTGGAAAAGCAGCCAGTGCACTTAACTGTTGAGCATCTCTCCAGTCATAACTAAAAATTATGGCTAATCCCAGAGTTATGAGAACCCTGAAAAAGTAAAAGGAAATATTTCTCAGCCTTAACATTGCCTTCTGTTCTCAACTCCAGGTATTTTGTCCTCTTATAATTTCAGTGGTTTAATTTCCATCCATTTGACTCTGGTAGTCTCTCTGTAGGCATTTCATCCTTCTCCAAGTTTGCACTGAATTTTACCTGACACAGCCATGTTTTCCTGGCCTTTAAGGAGGTCAACAGTATAAAGAAAACACTGTTAATAAGAGACCAGAAAAAAATGGACCCTGTCTCCATTAGGGAATTTCACAGACATGGTGCAGAAATCTGAAAGAAAATCCATAGAAATCTTTAACTTGATACACCACTGAGCTGAAGCCCGGTGCCCATGACTCGGCCTTTGATCGGGACTGAACTATGATCATCTAGAAGGGCTGTTATTTACATGGCAAAGATTACACAACTGGAAATTTTGTGCACATTGGCTCACAGTAATCTCCCAAAACTGCATACCAGCTAACATAAACTATGCGCTTTTGCATGACATCAATTACATGTCAGGAACCTTCAAAAGCTGAGGCTCATCTTAATTGAAAAAGACTTCCCAAATGGAGTTTGCTACCACCTAACCCACTGTTCTACACTGTAAGTAGTCCTCCGGTGACCACCCAGCCTGCTCCCCTCTTGCAGTATACTCAAAAAAAGATGTTCTTCCTATTCTGGTCTGAAGGGTGAATTTTCTACTGTAGAAGCTAAGTCACCTTGTGTTCACAATAGATTTGAAGCAAAAGATATGTCTCTGGTCATATACACTCTGTAATAGTTAATCTTTATTGTCAACTTGACTAGGATGAGAGATACTTAAATTAGCCTTCTGTGTCCTTCATATCAGGAGTTTTACACATTTGGTGCAGCCTTTGGTTTTCCTTTCTTTTTGGAGTATGGATTTTCAGGATTAGATTTTGTAATGTAAATTAGCCATGTGTTTACTTTTTTGATTATCAACTATTTTAAAGAATAGCTTTCACTTCCCTCAGTATCAAGTCATTTTCTTTTAGCCATTTGATTAAAGTGTAATTACATCACCTCCCTCTCCTCCCTCCAGCACCTCTTATGCCCCACCCACTTTTTCTTACATTATTTGTTATATATACATGTGAATAAATATATAAATACAATCCACTGAGTCCATTGAGTCTTTCTTACACACACCCACACAACCATATACATACATATGTGTTTGTTGTCCATTGTTTTCTTACTCTTAGCCATTTTGACTAAGGTAACATGAAATCTCAATATAGTTTTCATTTTAATTTCCTGAATTGCTAAGGATGGCGAACACTTTTTTCAGATATGCCTTAGCTGTTTTTATTTCTTCTTTTAGGAACTGGGTTGTTTCTTTCATTGACTCTTCTATCTTCAGCTTTTTTGTATATTCTGGATATTGTTTCTCTGTCAGATGTATAGCTAGCAAAGATTCTCTTCCAGTCTCTGGGCTTCCCCTGGACTTGACTGATTATTTCCCTAGTTTTACATAAGCTTTTTAGTTTTATGGGGGCCCATTTGTTAATTGCTGGCCCTAATTCCTGAGCAAATGGAGTCCTGTTTTTTAAAAAGTCCTTTTCTATACCTACATCTTATAGGGTATTTCCTATGTTTTCCTCTAGCAATTTTAGCATTTCAGATTTCACTTGAGGTCTTTGATGAATTTACAGTTGATTTTTGTGAAGAGTGATAGATATGGGTCTAATTCTATTCTTTCATGTGTGGCCACCATCTTTTCTACTTAATTACAAGTAGGCCACTCTAACAAACTACAGACATATTTGCATACACCTTGAACTACTACTACTTTACTGACTCCTTGCTGTTGAAACTCTAGGTGTGAAAGTTCACAGTCCATTGTAGGAAGCTAGGCACCAATGAGTGTCAACTCTCACTTTTTTTTTTGTTTTTGTTCTCACACCACAAGTTTTTGTGGCAAAACAATATTTACGGTTGTTGCTTTCTCAGTTACTGAGGGTCAAGGATTTTCACTAACCTGTCCCTTGGCATGCACAATGAAAAACCAGCATGAGTCAGGTAAGTATAGTTCAAAGGTTTGCTGCAAAAATTTACAAGACCCGAGTGGTTCATGGTTAATAAATTTTAATAAACACACAGGTAGTTAGAAGAAATATTTTTCCGAATGAATAATTGTTTAAATTCTATAATGCTTAACTAACAGAACAGAATTTTCAGGAAGCCAGTTTTCATCACAAACCTGTGGCTGAGCACTCTTAGATAACAGCTACACGTTATGATGGAGTTTTAGAATCGTTTGATTTCTAGCTAGAAATATTTGACATTCATTGATTATACTGAATTTCATATCAGTACATTTTAAAGTTTAATTGTCATTGCATAATTAAGGTATTTAAAAACTGTGCCAAATTCTGTGCTGACGTGGTGACACGGAAGTGCAGGACTCTGCCCAGCGCTCAGTGACAAAACCAGAAGGATGCTTTACAGAAACAGACACAGGGGAAGAAAGATATTCTTCATTCTTTTTGGTCTCTCGTTCGCTCATCGGGTAGTTTGTGAAATATACCACTTTCCTGACATTGTCTTAGCCCTTGAATATAACACTGATGGCGCCTTGGACTTGAGAGAGGCATGGGGAAGGCCAGCTGATCCTTGGCCTGAGATTTGAGGGCATGTAGGCAGATGGGGAGGGGAAGGCATTGTCAACTACCTCAATCACTTCAAAAATGTAAGTTGAGATAGAAAGCTTCCTGGGAACGTAAGAAGTGGGAAGCAGCAGCCATTAACAGAATCTGAGTGAAGCTGAGACATCCAGATGCTGATGAAGAAGAGAAGAGGGTCCGTGTGAAGGGAGTGGACCATGAAGAACAAAGCAATCTGTATGAGACATGAAGTTGACATGCAGGTACAAGCTTGTGAATGATTCATGCAGTCAAGCTATGTCTTTCAGAGCCCTGACCCTGAATTAGAGATTATTCATGCTTGTAAGGATGTAAGATCTGTGTAGTGGGAATGAGGGTGGGTCAGGAAAGTATGGCCCAAGGACTGGTTAAAAGGTTTGTTCTGGGCTCCTGGTGTGCCCAACTCAGGACTACGGGTCAGGAGCTAATTCTTGCCTGATTCAAACACGGCTTGTGATGGTTCTTCTTGGCTGTCAACTTGAATACAGCTGGAATTAACTAAGACACAAAAATTGGGGCCACACCTGTGAGGGATTTCTGCTTAATTCTAAGTAGGAAGCTCCACTTCTGATCTGGGTCTTTGAGGCAGGAAGACATGCCTTTAATCCAGATTTTTTTGATCTGAGAAAAGACATGCCTTTAATCTGGATCATTTGAGCTGGGAATTCCCACCTCTAACCTGGGCCACACCTTCTGCTAGAAGCCTTTATAAGGACACAGAAGAAGGAAGCTTGTTCTTAACTGCTTGCTCTCACCTTGCTAGCAAGTCCATTCCTTCACTGTAATAAAGAGCCTACATCTTTGGGCACCCAGTGTATACTGCAGAGCAGCTGAGACATCCAGTCTCATGGATTGAGCAACTACTGGATGCTTAAACCTTCCATTTATAGGCAGCCACTGCTGGATTAGCTGAACCACAGCCTTAATTCATTCCAATAAACCATATAGAGAAGGGGAGGGAGAGAGGATGGGAGGAAGGGAGGGAGGGAGGGAGGGAGGGAGGGAGGGAGAGATTTATTCTATAAATTGTTACCCTGACTAATACAGGTCTTGAGCTTACTTCTTTTGCTGCCTTTATTTGACCTACAGGGAAATAATTTGCCATGAGTGAACTGAGGGAGCCATTGCCCTGACCCTGCTCACCTTGAGCTACTGCAGATCCCGCCAGGATCCCTATTCTTATGGTACGACTATTTTTTTTATTCAATAATGGGATCCACCTGTGTCTCACAAGGTTCCTATACCCTTGATAGAGAGGCTCACTGCGTCTGCTATCTGCCGTTCTGTCTTCCTGCAGCCTGCTCCCATTCCCTGACTGTGCCGACATCTGAATTTTATCTGCCTAGCTGTTGTGGAGTCTGCCGTTTCCTATCCGTTTACCCTCTTCCTTATCCATCTCCCTCATGACTCTGTCTACCTGTCTCCTTCCTGCCTTTATCTCTGACTTTCCGCCCAACTCTTCCTCTGCCTTCTTCCTCCGCCCCAGGACTTTTCTTCTTTGACTGCATGACTCAGCCTAAGCTTCGTAGTTCTAGCAAACACAAATTACCATAAACTCACTGGTTTTGAGTGACACAGATGTATTCTTTTGAGTCCTGGTGACCAGGACTTTGAAACAGGTTTCACCAAGACGTAATGGTATCCCATCTCTGGGATCAGAACTCCACAGCATTTCTTGGGGACCCTGTGAAGAGATATGGAGATGGTGGCTATGTGTCCCTTGTTCCCAGGGTGATAGATTCCCAGGGCAAGGACTCCTAAAGCACCCCAGAACCTGGTGGGGTCCAGAAACCAGTTCAGGAAGCACCAGTCATCAGATTGGTAAGAACCCAGTTCCACGATGATTCGTTTGGGTGGACCTGCTCCTAAGAGCAGAGGGGAGCCTACTGCAGCCTCAGGACTTGCATGGATGAAGCCTGAGACCAATCTGAAGTTCTACAGTGACTTAAGGTACTGGCAACAGGCTAGAAATGCGGTCTGATGCATGAGATGGATGGCGAGAGAGTTCACAGAGAGGCCGATGATGCAAGTACTGATTCCTAAACCTGGCTTTTCTGGTGATCCTGGCGTGGTCTCGGGGTAGCACTATGATGGTCCTAAGATCTGAGGAGCCTGTAACAGACAAGTGAAAGTTGAGCCCTTTCCCCTCCCCTCCTTATCATTATACAAAAGTTATAACTGTTGGGGGGTGTCTTTGCCACTGCTAAACAAGTGGGTGAGGGATATATAATTGCCATAGGAAAGAGGAGGATATAGTATCTTTAAGTTAAAAATGCATACTACTGGTAACAGACCATACCTTTTGAAAGCTAGAGGCCTCTCCACTTCTGGCTGCTACTATTGGTAGTACATTTATAAACAATAATTAGGGAATTTGGGTGTTGTTGTCTAGTTATTTGAACAGAAAAGTGGAAATGGTGTGGGAAGTCCTTCTGTCTATGTGTTGCTTTTACTATTTAATGAATAAAGCTGTTTTGGCCAGTGGCTTAGCAGAATAAGACAAGGTGTGAATTCCAAGCAGATAGAGGAGTAAAGAAGGCAGAGTCAGGGAGACACCATGTAGCTGCCTGCAGAAGACAGATGCACAGCCTCGTGGCAATACACAGGTTAACAAAAATGAGTTAATTTAAAGTATAAGAGTTAGCCAGAAATACACTTAAGCTATTGGCCAAACAGTATTGCAATTAATATAGTTTCAGTGTGATTATTTTAAGTCTGGGCAGACAGGAAAAGAACAAGGGACCTCCATCAACAGAGGCCTGTTCTTTTCTGAAGAGGAAATGGAGATGACTGGGCCTGCGGGAGAGGAAAGGGGAGGGGAGGAGCTAGAAAGAGTGGAGGAAGGAGAAACTGTGATTAGGATGTATTGTATGAGAGAAGAATCTTGACTGAACGTGCCACATTCAAAGGGCCTGAGGTTCACAGGATTGTAACAGAATGGATGAGAGCTTCAGCATTGCTTATCCCATCAAGCAGGGAATTTTTGAGTCAGTCTCTCTCGTTCTGACTTCCCAATCACCAATCTGTTGTGTATTCTCCCCACCCACCTGAAGAATTTTCAGTCTTGCCTAAGGCTATTAGTGACCTGAGCAATGTACAGAGTTCCAGTGTGATGAAACCCTTTCAGCAAAACTCCTTCTATAAAGCTGACCTCCGAAGACTATAGACCAGCTCTGCCTGCCAGACTGTTCATAAATACACTAATATTTTTCTCCTTCTTCTGTCCCATGTCCTTTAAACAAAATCAGCCCAGACAAAATAGACAAGACTCTTCATGTAGAGCCAGTCTCTCTTGCTCTCCTGAGAGATTTAGGATATACTCATTTTGAATATTTTCCTAAAACAAGTATTGGTGGTGGGGATGGTGCTAGGATGTCAGAAAGCCTGAGGTTGGTTACCCCTGGCATAAATCAAACAGTTTTGTTTGGAACGTATTTCAACATCTCAAGCAAAGTCTACACTGGCAATAGGTCAGAGGGGAGACAAGTGCTAGACATCAATCCTAAACCACTATATGCCCACATGCTTCCTGAACTAAATAGAGCTTGAGGTTAGAAGGTTAGGGGGGTGTTTTGGGGGTTACAGTGACTTCTATCCTTGTCTCCTAATCATTTTCAAGCTGCAGACAGAGTGATCAAGGCGAGGAAGGCTCAGCTGCAGGATGGAGGATGACTGGAGAAACTTGGAGGAAAGAGGTGCTTGGACTTTCTGAACATCCTTCTATTTCTGGAGTGAGTGGGTGGGGCTGAGGCCCAAGACTCTGCATAGGAGTAAAGGGAGGGACACAGACTGCTCATCTCATGAAAAATTGTGTGGTGAGATGAACAGTTTCATTTCAGGGGTTGCGACACCACAGTCCGCATCTCCTGGGTCTTCAATGCTTTGGCCACACATCCTGACCACTATGAGACACAAGGAGAAGTTCCAGCATTTTCCTGAGTGTGGAACCCCATCACATTGTGAGAGAGAGCCCAAAAAGAAGAGAATCCTGACTTTGGATAGACTCTCTGGTTCTGTTGGGCTCAGCTTGTTCTTCAGGCTGATCTTCATTCCAGAGACCACTTGGACCAGTTATCCTACACCATCATGTGCATCAGGGAAGCCCTGAGAATCTACCCACCTGCCAAGCTGTGGGCAGAGAGGTTGACACCCCTGTCATCTTTCCTGATGGATGTTCTTGTCACCTTTCCTGATGAGCGTTCCTGCCACCTGTCCTGATGGATATTCTTGTCACCTTTGCTGATGGGTATTCCCATCACGTTTGTTGGTGGGTGTTCCTGTCACCTTTCCTGAGAGTGCTTCTGTCACCTTTCCTGGTGGGCAGTCCTTGCCTAAGTTGAGCCCCAAACCTCGATACCTGTAGATAAAAGATAATAAGAAGTCTTTTTGGATTCCCTGAGAGTGGAGGACAGACAGAATATCTAGATAGATGCTATAGACATTGTGGTTCCTTTCTGAAGACATGACAACTGAATTGATCAGGAAGTTCTGTGCCATAAATCAAAGGTGTTTTGCTCTGAGGTATCTTTTGGCTGACATTAGAGACCAGCTGATGATCAGAACTGAACCCCTTTCTAGAATGAGATCCTTCACCTACCGTTGGATCTGGTCCCTGCCTTGCCATGTGCTGACTGTATGGATACAGACATGTCACTCATCATCTCTAACATTCTGGTGCTTTTTCTGAATAATGAATCCAAGTGTCTCTCTAAAGGTTGGTTCTGGGCACCTAGGGAAGTAGTTTTTATCCTCCGAGACTAGTAGAAGGCATTAGAGACATGTGAATAGTAGTCACTCAAGAGACTTTGCATTGGTTCTCCAGTAACTTCCTGCTCCTCATTGCTTGGAGGAACTATGCCACTGTGGAGGAAACTGTTTCCTATGTTTGGAATACTGCCAGTGACTCAGTTGCCTTTCTGTTCCCTGCAAGCCAAGATGCAGTCAACACAACACCTGCCTGCATGCCACCATGCTCCCTGCCATGATAATAATGGACTGAATGCTGAAACTGTAAGCAAGCCACCCCAATTAAGTATTTTCCTTATAAGAGTTTTCATGGTTGTGGTGTCTTTCACAGCAATAGAAACCCTAACTAAGACTGGAGGAATCTCAAATGACTGAGAACATCCTTAACCATCAGGGGAATGCAAATCAAAACTACTTTGAGATTCCATCTTACACCTTCAGAATGGCTAAGATCAATAATACAAGTGACAGCTCCTTGGTCAAAGATGTAGAAAAGGGGGAACACTCCTTCATTGTTGATGGGAGTGCAAACTTGTACAACCAGTATGGAAATCAATATGGCAGTTCCTTAGAAAATTGGTAATCAATACACCTCAAGATCCAGCTATACCACTCTTGGCCATGTACCCAAAGGATGCTCCATCCTATTACAAGGACACTTGTTTGGCTATGTCCATTGTGACTTCATGAATAAAAGCCAGAAATTAAAAACAACCTAGATGTTCCTTAACTGAGGACTGGATAAAAAAATTATGAGCCATTTACACAATGGAATATTAGCTACTAAAAAATGACATCACAAAATTTGCAGACAAATGGACAGAACTAGAAAAATATCACCCTGAGTGAGGTAACACAGATGGAGAAAGACAAATGTGGTGTGTATTCACTCATAAGTGGGTAGTAGCTATTAAGTAAATGATAGTCAAGCTACAATCCACAGACCCAGAGAGGTTGGATAAAGAGGTTAGATAAGAGGGAAATGTAGATCTCCTTGGGACGGGGAAATAGAGTAGATTTAGTGGGTGGACTGGGGACAGGAGTAGGAGGGATCAGAGGTTGGTATGGGGAAAGATAGAACGAAAGAGTACAAGGAGAGACAACTGGAATTGGGGGCATTTGAGGAGTTGTGTGGAAACCTACTGCAGTGGAAACTTCCTGGAATCTAAGAGTGTGACCCTAATGAGGACTTGTAGCAACAGAAGATAGAGTCTGAACTGGCCATCTTTTGTAGCCAGGCAAGGCTTTTAGTAGTGGAACTGGGCTACATTCAGTTGAATTGTTAATCAAGGTCCCACTGAGATCCCTGAACACCCCAGGCTGATGCTAGAACAAAAAGTCTCTTCTGAAAACTGACAGTGGGGCCCCATTGCCAAAGACAACTTCCACATAGTTCATCAAACGTAGACAGGTCGAGTTGGTGTGACCTTGGAGCCTGCTTTCACCACTACATTTCAGTCTCTTTGGCACAAGAAGGTGTTCTGCATGCTATGGAGACAGAAACCTGGATACCAACCCAGCCACAAAACCTTCCACCTACAATCTTGTCTTGCATGCAAAATGTGCTGGGGCAATGGTGGCCCAGACTTGTGAGAGTGAACAACCAATGTGTGGTTTAACTTGAGGTCCAGGCCACAAGAGGGAGCCCGTGCTCTCCCTATACTGCCTAGATGGCCAGGAAACAGAGACTGGATAGCCCAACCTGCAGTAGAATCAAAGAGAACTGGGGGGGGGGGGGTGTCAATGAAATGATTCCTAATGATTTTCTGTATACTATAGATCAGTACCTTGTCTTGTCAGAAAGGCGTCCTCCAGCAGCAGATGGGAGCAGGTACAAAGACCAGACATTATACAGAGGGGAGATCTACTTTGGAGGTCACCATCAGGTCCCTCTCTTGGAGATAGGGGAACCCAGTGGAAATGAGACTGTAAGAGTCAGAGGGAATAGAGAACACCAAGAGATCATGGCCCACCAAATCAAACAAGCAGGGCTCACGTGGACTCACAAAGACTGAGACAGCAAGCCCAGGGCCTACATGGGTCTGCACCAGGTCCTTTGCATGTTACAGCTGTTAGCTTGGTGGTTTTGTGAGACTCCTAACAGTGGGGGGGGGGGGTTCTCTCGGTCTTTTGTTTTCTTTTTTGACTCTTTTCCTCCTATTGGGTTGCCTTATCTAGCCTCAATATGAGGGCTTTCACCTTGTCTTATCCTATCTTGTTTTGTCCTGTTTGATTGTTGGCTCTTGGAGGCCTGCTCTTTTCTAAAGAAGAAACTGAGGGAAATGGATCTCAGGGAGAGAAGAGATGGGGGGGATTAAAAGGAGTGGAGGGAGGGGAAACTGTGGTTGGCATGTATTGTCATTTAATTTAAAAAAAAAAAAGAACAGTCTTACAAGTACTGATAGCTTCTGTATAATAAAAAAAATTGGATAAAAATCATAAAATACTATAACAGGAAAAATTGTAAAAATAAATAAATAAATAAATAAAATAATATCCAAAGCTAAGAATAGTGACACACACAGAGGCCTGTAGTCCCCAGAATGTGGAACTTGTAACTCAAGGCCAGACTTTGGTACATAAAGTTCTATCTCAAAAGAACAAAAAGAAAAGCAAAATTAGGTCATTAATTGCAGCAGTATTCATACTGAAATTTTGAACATAAACTAAATGCCCAACAAAAAATGAATACTTCAAAATCTCATGTTCAACAAAAAGATAAATATTTCAATAAATTATGCCAAAATCAAATAGTAGAAAATTATATTCAAACAGTGCCTTCTAAATGTCTTTGACAATATAAGAAAACATTACAAACTAACTCAGATCAGTTTATCGGCTATAAGATGGTGATGTGGGAGTCCTCTCTGTGTGCTGTCATTACCATTAATGAATAAAGAAACTGCCTTGGCCTGTTGATAGGGCAGAACTTGGCTAGGCAGGGAAGACAGAATTGAATGCTACGAGAAAGAAGGGAAGAGTCAGGAAGACTCCATGGAGCCACTGGAGACAGGCGCTGGGAATTTTGCCCAGTAAGCCACTGCCACGTAGCAATAAACAGATTAATAGAAACGGGTTAATTTAAGATGTAAGAGTTAGCCAATAAGAAGTTGGAGCGAATAGGCCAAGCAGTGATTTAATTAATACGGTTTCTGTATGGTTATTTGGGTTCTGGATGGCCGGGACAAACAAGCAGGCCCTCCTCCTACAAGATGGAAAATAAATGTTGACAAGGATGTGGGGAAATTGAAATCCTCACACATTTCTGGTAAGAATCAAAAGTATTTTAACCATTCTTAACCTATTATTCTATAAGCAACCTGATTAAATTCATTGGGACACATGGAGGGATTGAAGGAATATAACTGACTGGGAAGAGGAAGATAATCAGGGGTGTGAGGGGACAAAAGAGGCTAATCAGTGTGAATATGATCAAAATATTGCACACTGTATTAACTGCTTTTCTTCTACTATGAAAAAACACCATGAGGCAATTTCCAGAAGAAAGAGTTAATTTGGGCTCATGATTCCAGAGGGTTAGATAAATGGTTAGGTTAGTCCACGGAGGCAGATAGAGCAAAGGCATGGTGGCAGAAACAGGGACCTGAGGACTCATATTTTGAACTACAAGCAAGAACCAAAGTGTGAACTGTAAATGACACAACTCTTTAAGTCTAAGTTACCTCCAATGACACACTTCCTCCTGCACGGTCACACCTCCTAAGCCTCCCCAAAGAGCACCACCAACTGGGGACCAAGCATTTTGACATTATGGGGACATTCAAACCACCATACATACATTTATTAAATTTCAGTGGTAATGAAATCTATTATTATGTATAATTAATGCATGCTAGTAAAAACTTTTTTAAAAGATAAAGTATTTGTTTGGTTTACAATTCTTCTAAGGTTTCCAGTCCCTAGATCTGGCAGTCCCAATTCTTTGCAACTCTGAAGATGATGGACACCATGGTAGGAAGGTATAGAACAAACCACTTATCTCTTCGGCCAAGGAGCAAGGAAAAGAGGATGGTACTGAGTCCCGTACTTCCCGTGAGAGCACACTTTCCTCTGACCTAAAGATCTCCCACTAGGTCCTACTTTCTAAGTCCCAAAATTGCTCCCCTGGGGGCCAAGTCTATAACAGGACACTGACATCCAATCCATAACATTTTCCACCAACCCCAAGAGCCAAGGTCCACCAAAGCTTCACATGCAAAAGAAATAAATCATTTGGCCTCTTTTAATCAGTACGATCAACTACACTATGCTGAGTCATACTTTTATACATATACAATTCATTTATTCCATCCCAACAGACCCCCCCCCCAGCATTGTTCAAAACTTCAAGCTCAATGTCTCTAGCAGGACTCAAAGCAAACTCAACTTTGAATGCCCAACAGAATCAGAAAGAAAGGGGTAATATACCTAAAGATGGTACAGGTGCAGGATAAGCATTTCCAAAGAATGGGAAAACAGGAGAGATCAGCCCAAAGCAAGACCAAAATTCAGCAGGGTTAACATGAAATTCTAAATGTCTATGCCTGGTACGCATGCTGGGTGACAGGAGCTGGGCTTTCAAACAGCTGGGCAACCGTACGGTCTCATCAATTACAGACAACACAGCCACCATCCCAGGATGGCTTTGCATACTGCTTGTCATCTTCCCTAGTGAATGCTACATGCTGCTAGCACCTCTAGCTGTCTTGGGTCCTGCTGCCGCTCTGGTTTCACTCCCACAGCTCTGCTACAAAGGGCTCTATTGAAGCCTGCCTGCAGGGCTCCAGCCCTATAGCACGCTGGCTTTGGGGAGACATTCAACATCCAAACTATAGCAAAGAGTTTGAAAGGTGGTGAAGAGCATGAGAGATTTGGGGTTTACATCCCTTGGAGGAGTAGACAGAATGATTAGAGAATGAAGCAGAGAGGTCTGAACCAATATCTTTGAGCCTCTCTCAGGCTCCCTGGTACTGTGTAAAATGTCCCTACTCACAAAAGGACATAGAATGATGCTGTGTAGAGTCATCTGTGTAGGTGCTGAAGCAGAGGGGTAATCACATGGACTGTTCAGGTATTCGTACCACCAGCAGAAGCCTGGGTCTGTCTAGATCAGCTGGTGAGTCCCCAGCCTCTGGCCCTCCAGAAAGAAAGAACTGGAAATTCACTAGTTGTCACACGCTGCTATTTATCGGTCAGCACAAGGGGACCAGAGACCTGATCAGGCAAGACATGAAACTGAGGGCAGTCAGGGCCCTGAGGATAGACCAAGGAACTCCACGGTCTCCAGCCCCATGACCATGTGTGACACAATACATCTGTCATGACTCGGGGAGAGAGCAGGGCACGGTGCTAGGGGTGCCAGCAGACTTGTCAACAGAAGATTCCCAGCCAGTCGAGAGACGGAAACAGGCAAACTGAAACTCTCCCTGATATGGCACAACAGAAAATATATAAAAAAAAAAATCAGTACATGGTCCAGATGAAGCCACTTCCCCCTGGAGCCTGTGGTGACTATTTACCTGCCAAATGAAATCTGGCTTCAGAGGCTGGGATGGGGGATGGAAAAGTCAGGAGTGGGATGTTAACAAGGAGGAAAACATGGAGTTTGAAAGCAGGATTGGGTCTGTTTCTCAGGGCTGTAACTTCAACACAATCAAACGTCTGTCTTAGCATAAATAAATGAGCAAATGAGTGGTGGACAGTACCATAGAGGAGACAGGCGCCTGGGAGGCCTGGACTCTTAGATCCTGCCGCTAAATGTTAAAATTCATCTCTCTCTCTCTCTCTCTCTCTCTCTCTCTCTCTCTCTCTCTCTCTCTCTCTCTCGTGTGTGTGTGCATGTGTGTGTCTATACACACATGTTCATTTGTGTCTAAGTGTGCATATGTTTGGGTATGCACAGCCATGTGTGCATGTGAAAGCCAGAGGTCAACCCTGTGCATCTTCTTCAATTGCTCTCCACCTTAATCATGTAAGATAAGATTTCTCTCTAAACCTGGAGTTCATCCATTTGACTTAAATGGCTGGTCCAGGGATCTTCCTGGCTCACTTCGCCAACATAATTCCAGATATTTATCACCACATCCATCTTAAATATAATGCTTTCAGTATCCATGAGGCATTGGTCCTAAGGGTATACTAACATCTAGAGATGGGCTGGAGAGATGACTCAGGAGTTAAGAACACTTGTTCTCACCTAGGGCCCAGGTTCAGTTCCTAGCACCCATATGGCAGCTCATGGATTCTTTGCCCTTTTCTGACCTCCTCAGGCACCAGGCACACACATGATATACAGACATGCATGTAAGCAAAATACTGATAAAATAAGATAAAGCTAAAAGTAAACTTTAAAAAAGTCTATAGATATCCATGGCCCTTATATGAGGCGGCATAGTAGTTGCATATAGCCTGCTTGCACCGCCTAGCATGGGATAAATGCTATGTGTGTTGCTGCATTCTTTAGAGAATAATAACATGAAGAATATATACTGTAACATATTCAATGCAGGTACAAATTTTTCCAAATATTCTTGAGCCATGGAGGGTTCACATATCTTAATATGTGCTTTCTTGGCAGATTCCGGCTTTCGGGAGTTAGCTTCAGAAGACGTTCCAGCTATAGCTGGACTGTGACGAAGTCTGTGTCCACAGCTTAGGACCCAGGACAGAAAAGAGTCTGAGCACTGTGACGGCAGAGACAGCATTTTGTTCTCTGCTTTTCCTCTGGC